ATCACAAATTTAAAGTTTTATGAGATCCCAAATACTTGAGCATAAGGTATGAAGGTATGTGCTTAATGTTTTCGCCTTGAGATCACAAATTTGAGGCTTTATGAGATCTCTAACACCTGAGCATAAAGTGTGAAGGGATCGGATGAGTTTAATGTCTCCGCCTTGAGATCACAAATTGAGACTTTATGAGATCCCAAATACTTTGACATAGGGTGTGAAAGGACAAATTTTGTCCACCTTAAAGCATGAAAATTTAAAGATCTTTTTAAGGATAAATCTGTGAAAAGGTCAGCTTAAGGTGCAAAGAGACAATTTTGTGTACCTTAAGATATGAAAATTTAATGGTAATATTCTTACGGTGCAAAGGGATGGTTACTCGTGTCCGTCTTAAGAAAGGTAATTTGAAGGTATTCTTACGGCTTAAAGGGATGGATACTCAACCCCGGCCTACGAAAGGTAAATTTAAAGATCAAGACAACTTTCAAACTCAACGGCTTTAAAGAATTTGACTTGCAAACATGGTAGATCTGAGACCTCAATTTTTAGGCATGAATAGTTTGCAGACTTCGTCAACAATTTACATTCTTTAACTTGCATACATGATTGCCTTGAGACCCCAACTTGCAAACTTTAAGAATTTAAAGACCCCAATTTGTATACTTGAAGAATTTGAAGACTTCAACTTGTATACTTGAAGGATTTGAACACTTCAACTTGCAAACTTAAAGAATATGAAGATTCCAACTGCATACTTAGTTGATCTGAGACCCCAACTTGCATACTTGAAGAATTTTAAGGCTTCAACTCACATACTTGGTTGATTTGAGATCCCAACTTACAGACTTGAAACTTTTTAAAAACTTCAACTTGTAACATTGGTTGATTTGAGAGCCGAACTTGCATACTTGGAGTGTGACCATGCAGTTTGTGGACTGTCAGATCTAGGTGACTCGAACGCAAGATTTGGGGTTGATAAAAGATGAGACAAATATGAGATGAGCTCCTCAGCCCGAGGTTCAGTTGCCAGAGTTATTTGAGGGACCGACCTTAGAGTTGGGTAAAGAGGGTTTAGCCCTTGAGTCAGGGGCTTCTAAAGAGGAGCCTACAGTGGCTGCCACTACATCTGTCACACCACCTACTAGCATTCGTATCGGAGTCCCACACCCATGGTCTTCGGGCATGGTTACGATCATTGCGGAATTCCTACATGAGTTAGTCCAGCACCAAACGTAGATCGAGATGCAGTTAACACAGTTGATCCAACCGGTGAAGCCATGGATTAGAACCTCTATTACTCGGGCTGAGGAGCGAGTGGCTATGAAAATGTAGTCAATAATTCACGGGGTAGCTCATTACACAGTCCGGTAGATGCTTTTGGGCGTCGTGTGATTGAGCGGCTTAAGGATGTGCAAAGTCTAGACTTGCAGGGTCTACTGGCAGAGGTGGCCCATCTTTTATCAGCCATCACTTCTTTGTCCACCACACAAGCACCAGTCATATCCACCTTCCCTATGTCAATGTCGGATGCCCTTCTGATTGTAGTTGATTTATTTGCTGATGAATTGCTCTCACCAACGCAAGGAAGTGAGTGCACACAGGAAATGATGTTGTATATGAGGATGAGTCCGAGAGAGCAGCGAGAGGCAGAGACGGCCAGGCAGAGGTCAATAGTCCACGAGCAGTTGAGAGAGGATAGGAAGCTGCAGCGCATTGCTGGTGCTTCTAATTTGGAACCAACTATTGATGGTACCACCCCAGTAGTATTAAGACGCCGGGTGAGACTGCACATACGGATATCGTCGTTTAGGCGATACATGTATGCCTTCACCTCTATTATTTTATTTTTTTTTGCATTGGGGACAATGCACAATTTTTGATGGGGTGGGGGTAGTCTGTATGCCTTGACAAGTATCGTGGTGAAGTTTGAGTAACCAGAGTACTTGTCCAGGTTTTTGTAAAGTATCTCGGCAAAGTCTGAGTAGCTTAGATACTTGCTTGTGTCCTTGGGGTTTTCTTGTTGTGTTCTTTTTGCGAGGACTTTAATTTATGTTGAACCATCATGTTTAGGATGTTGTTGTGAATGTAAAAAAAGAATAAGAGCTGATGCAAAAATCCATGGTATGTTTTTATTTGAAATGAAAATTGAGACCCCTCCGAGTTTTAATGTGTTGTGTTTGTTGCTTTGATAGTGTGACAATGTGGGATGTTTTCATGACATTACGTATATTGATGTGACAAGTGTAACTTAAGCTAGGGAATAGACCTGATAGTTAGTAGTTAGTAGCAAGACTTTGTGTCATGTTTGAGTGAGCTATTTGCATTATTTTTACTTTGTGTGTCAATCTATAACTTGTTCCGTTAGTCTCACCGAAATGACAGGAGTGTTGGTTAGGAAAGGATTATAGGCCATTTTTGAATATACTCCACTTTGCCTAAATGATCGACCAAATAAAATTAATTATTACTTGATCCACGACTTTAAGCCTAAAAAAGATCTTTTTTGTGTTACCCCAATCACCTTTTCGGGTTTTTTTGTCATGTAAGCTTTTATTTTTGCCTTGGTCCCTTCTTGGACATTGTGCACCTCAACTTAGGTAAAATGCTTAAGCTGAAGATGACTACTATAGAGGTTATCTGAAAAATGGGGTATAAAAAGAACAAGTGTAAATGAAAAAAAAAAACAGATGTGGAGATACTAATATAATTTTTTTTTAAAATCAAAGAGCTGCTAGAAATTACTGGCGCATCTGGAAGTCGATATGGAAGAATGAAAAATGGAGAAAAGGGAGGATAAAAGTTTGGCGAAAGTGAAGTAAAGACATTGTACCATTCTCGAGCCTACGTTACAATCCAAGTAAAGTCCTATAGTGATCCTAATTCAATTGTCCAAAAGTTAAGATATAGAAAATACGGGCAAGTCTATGATATTGTACATGCATGATTTGAATTTCTTTTGTAAGAGTGAGTGTTACCTAGTCCCCGATTTTGAAAATCATGATATTGTGTGCAAACATGACTTCTTTGTGGTGAGGATATAAGAGTAGCATTGTTAATTATTGGTTAGATAGGTGATTGTTGTTTGTGCATGTAACCTTGTCTGTTAGTATGATGATGCCATTCATTGATCCGCATGTGTTAGCTTAAGAACTTGGTAATTTACACGGATTATAAGAAAAAGGAGGACGCCGTGTTTTGCGAATTCAATTGTTGAAAGCCATGTGGTTGATGTAGGTTCTTAGTCTTATTTTGCTAAGTTTGTCGTGATGTGTTAGTTGTGTCAGTTGCTTGAGGACAAACAATGATTTTCAGTTGAGGGTGTTGATATGTTGTGGATTTACGATACTTTTAATGCTTAAAACTTAAGATTTGTGTATGTTCTCCTGTGAAATTTAGCAGATGTGATGAGTTTTTGTGTTAAATTTGCAGAAAAATAGGACTCAAAGGCTAAGTGCTAAAAAATGGTGATGCAGGACCATCTACGAGTCATTCTATGAGTCGTGATTTGATCCACGAGCCGTAGACGACAGTCATAAGTAAGATTCAGAAAGTTGAAAAAACCCTGAGTCTACGAAGAGACAGTACGAGCCATAGAAGGGAGTCGTGGTCAAGATTCATAGAAGGGTGTAAGAAGTCTAATTTTTATGAGGGAAGAATACAAGTTGTAAAAGGTTTCACAGATTGTAGTTCTTGTCCGTGGAAAATTCTTGAGACTATGAAGTTCCTGCTATCTACGATAGGCTTCCACGAGCCGTAAAAGAGGCTACGACCCATAGATTGGTTTGTAAAAAATGTCAAACCCAACTTTTGTAGTTTGATTTGGATAGATTTTTAATGTCTATAAATACTTTTCCTATTCTTTTATGGATTATGTTCGTTTTAGTTCTGAAAATAGAAGTAAACAACTACTTTGCTTTTATTCTTGGATTTTGGAGCAAAACTACAATTGGATCTTTGTTTTTTTACTTTGAATTTCAAACTCAAGATTTTGGATTTGTACTGTTCATCATGTAAGTGCATGATTTCGTTAAATTTAATTATTGTTAATTGTTATCATACAAGTATGAGTAGCTAAATCCACAACTAGAATTGTGGGAACCATGAATAATTAACGAAGTAGACCTAATTTTTAGTAATCCCTATAGAGTGTGCATGCATGCATTATTTTTCTCTTTACTTTGATTGCTTTTTAATAGATGCATACATTTGAACTCGCCTTATTCTTACTTGCCATACCAATGAGGTAACGAATGAGAAAATAGATTATACAACGAAGATTTGAGGCTATCAACCCTCATCTAATAGCTTTGCCTTGTCTGGAAATAGCTAATTTGAAATTAAGGGTATGGATTAGTAAAACAAACACTCGTAGATGGACCAAGATACGTGGTGATATGCACTTATTTTGGGGACCAACCACTTAGGTGAACCTAACTTACCGATCTTGCATGCTACACACTAGAAAATGTTACTAATATCTGGTCTTACTAAGTTATGACTTCATGGTGATCACAAAACTCTAATTTCGTCTTTTATTGATTCAAAACCAATGAAATTGATGTTTATTACTTGTTGGTTGCAATAACTATAGAATTTGATTTGTTACACAACTCCCCTTCGAAAATAATATGACTAAGAGCCCAAATAATATGACTAAGAGCCCAAATAATAAAAACTGAACTGAGTCAAAACCGTATTGCTTGTGGGATCGACTCTAACCTTGATTAGGTTCTATATTTGAACAACAACCACTTTATACTTATTTTGGGAGGTGTAATTTGGACGTATTTGCCCACCATTCTCACTTGGATTTGGCAACATCCGGGAAATACCTTAATCATGTCATTAGGGTTATAATTAACATAGGAAACTTAGATGACTTTCAAAGTAAAATACACATTGTACTATTCCTTAACAAAAAATGTCCCATTAATGTTTCTTGGTAAACTTTTTAACAAGGCAACTAGTAATGCGTATTACCAAATATGTTGCACCATAGAAAGAAAAAAAAATGTGTGATGTTCGAAAGTAATTGCAAGAGTTTTATATTCTACTCTTTCCATGTTGCACAAAATAAGATTCATCAGCATTGGCTAAACGATCTTGAAACATAGCCCACTCATTTGTACACCTCTCTCTTACCTACAATACATAGTTTCATTACTTTAGCCAATACAGTAATCAAATAATGCTTTTTATCTATTATTTCAGCCATAAAATAATTGTTTCAAAATATTCAGTCACTTTTTATGGAAAATTAAGAAAACACATTTGATGCTTTTCAACTCAAACTTAATTACACCAAAAACGCGTATTGTCATTAATTGTTTACTTACGGAAGAAATAATTGTTAATTTGACAACTACTCTTCATGAATAATGCTACTCCCTCCGTCTCTTTGGCATGATACGAAGTTTAAGAAAGAAAATGAAGAGTATTAAATGTTGTGGCCTAAACGACTTCCTTGACCATTTGTGTGGCTATAAATCATGGGGAAACTAAGCAAATACCCCATAAAAGCAAAATAATTACAAATTATATCCCTTTTGGTATCATTAAGGTTTTTTGTTTAGAAATTACTCATTAGCCAAGAAACCTTGATGATACCAATACATTACCGATTTAATATCAGTTAAGCAAAAATTATCAGCCTTAATGATACCAATACAGTATATGATACTGATTTAATATCAGTTAAGTGAAAATTATCATGCTTAATGATACCAATACAATATATGATACTGATTTAGTATCAGTTAAGTGAAAATTATCAGCCTTAATGATACCAATACAGTATATAATACTAATTTAGTATCGGTTAAGCGAAAATTATCAGCCTTAATGAATGAGGGGTATGGATATGAGAGAATGGTATTTCAGGAATTACATTAGATTTGAGTATGAACTTGTAATTATTTTGGATTTTATGACCCATTTATGTAGTTTCCCCATATATCATTTCATTAAGGATAAAAGGTGGATTTTAAAGTTAAATTGTTTTCAACTATAAAATGTGACATTCTTTTTGTGACGGACCAAAAAGGAAGGTGTGCCACATAAATTAAGACATAGGGAGTATAGGTTAATGAGTAAGTCAAGTAACTTTAAACAACAGATGAAAAAAGACAGGAGGGAGTATGATATATAGTTGCCAATATAAATTTCAGGCAATGCATGGACATGCTTACCCCTTCCCAAGGAGCTTTGCCATTCTCAGTCTCACCCTGTGATCCAAAAGAAGAAAAGGAAAACAAGAACATGACAAAGAATTAATGATTAATGAATAACTCAAGCATGATATATATGCAATCTATGAGCAAGTTTGTTGTCCTATACAAAGAAATATGGCATGGTTATAAAAACACAAATTCAACGCAGGACATATACTGTAGGATATATAGCCACATATGGAGAAGAACAAACTCTCGGGATGTTCATGGTCATATTTGGAAGAAAGCAACTATTTCTCTTCTCCTCAAGAAGAGAAAGTAATACAAAGGGGTCGAAAATCTTAATAGCTCACTTAATTGACTATCTAAACTTTCACCTTACTAGTGATGGTTCAATTCCCCACCTTGTAATCCCCTTCTCAATTTTCCCTCCCCCTTTGTTAGCCAAAATGCAGGGATTCTCAGAGGAATCTGAGGTTTTAGCAGTTGGCCAGGAGTTTTACCGAGTTGACAGCTATGGAGGATGAGAAGAGAAGAAGATGAAGAATAGAATTCAATAGGAAAAGTATACTTGTATATTTGAATTGATGTTTCAATCTGTAATGATACAATTCCTTTTATAGAAATGAGAAAGATTCTAATTTGCTAACTGCTTCTAACTAATTCAACAGCCGGTAACTAACTGCTGATATGACAAAACTAACTAGCTTGACCTGATTCATTTTTTGAGTAGCACCTTACCCCATTTAAAAAAAAAAAAAGTAACACCTTACCCCATTATTGTTTTAATTTTTAAAAAGTAATACAAGATTAGGTCATCTTTCCACAAGTTCAACAAAAGGAAGACAATATTAAGTCCTACTCCTGTGTTAGTCTTTAGACGATGCTTCTAAAGACTTTTACAAAATTATCAAATAGCAAACACGAAAAAATCATAGGATTAGATTCTTTTATGGATGTTCCTAATTGAAAGGAATGAAGATAAACGAAAGGAGATGAATAGGAGATGTTATTTTTTTTTTCGATGGACAAACTTTTAATAGGGAGACAAAGGGTTGGATAAGGATGAAACGCATGCTCTTTCCATAAAAAAGTGGGTAGAATCAGAGGGAAGGAGATCTCATCAGATGAAACATTTTTTAACCCTTGGGATGCAGCCCTTCTCTGAACCCTACTAACATGGGATTCATTGCGCACCGGGCTACCCTTTTAAGAAAAACTCATTTCTTTGTTTATCTTCTAATGAATCAAAACTATAATAATATTCTTATTTTTCCATTTCCTACCTTTCCTCTTTTCTCCTTTTTGGCTACTTTCGCATTCTTTCTCTTGATCAAAACCACCCATTGAGGTTGTGTTAGGTATGAAGGAAATGCTTTCCTAAAAAATAAGTTTTCATGTTTGTTTGGTGAGCTGAAAACCTTTTTTGGAAAATAAATCAAATCACATCCCGTCCTTTACCATCCCATGAAGCCCTTGCTGGCATGGTTAAGCATTCCCAACGTGCTTCAGTTGGGGTTTATTAGCTGAGCTTTGAGAAACACCAGGTGTACTCTAGGGCCTTTTATCATTAACCTGGTAAATGACTTCCCTAGGGTCAAAGGGACGTCCTTTTCCACTAATTAAAAGAAAATATTTTCTCAAGTATTAAGTGCAACAAAACATGAGAAAATTGGAAAATATTTTCCTTCGTACCAAATACACTATAAGTTTTGGTGGTGTTACACAACACTTGCCATAACAATATATAGGCCACACTTGATCATTATCATCTCAAGCACTCGGGAAATTCCAGGTGGTTGATTTCAACTTTTACATATTTAAGGAACAGATCGCTGGCTGAAGAAATCACAAACGGAGTATGAAATTGGTTGGGCAAGTAGGGTAATGCATTGACTGACCTGACTCCCAAATAAGTAGGGAAAGTTCCCCACATAACAATAAACTAATTACTTCACAAATAAGTAGCTTTCCGGAAATGAACATTGACTGACCTGACTCCCAAGAGAAGGAACAAATTGATGTACTATCCACTGCGAATCAACAACGCCAATTTTTTCATGAGCAGGCTGCACTAACCATGGAAAAGAAAATTAGGATTTTGCCAAAGTAACATATCTCAAGTAAGTTCGCTGCAGTTCTCATTTTACCACAGTGGAATCCTTTCCCACCATTCTATTACAAATAAAGAATGTATCTGGAGGAAATAAGAAATAATAACCTCTACACATCTTCTCAATGCAAAATCCAATCCCCATCCATGCACCAAATCATTCTATAATCAAATCAAGTACAAATATTAGTATAAATTGCATATGAAATAGTAGAAGATACTCATGATCAGGGTGATTTCATCTTGAATGGATTATAACGACTAAAGAGTAATAATGACATTGGTAGTTAATGCATCTGATCCCTAGAGTCTAAGGAACTACCTGAATCATATGCCAAACACATCGCCATGCTTCTCTAGAGAACACAGGAGCCATTATTTCAACAAAGCTGACCAAGAAATCAGATGAAAAGTATGATAAATCCTATAAAAATATGCAAGGGCTCAAGATATGGTTTGGAGTCATAATTCTTTTAAATGTCTGATTTTCAGAAAATAGAATTTATGCACTTGGAAAAAGAAAATGAGTGCAGTTGGCACATTCAACCCTGAAGAAAGGCAGAAACAAGCTAACTGCCTCTCAATATTAATGTGTAAAACATGTGGAAGTAGGCAAGTAGAACTCATAGAGACATATACGGGGAGGGAGTAGAGAGTGAGAGAGAGAGTACGCTGCACAAGGAGGCAAACGTGGATTACTGCACCAGCCTGGTTTCTCATCAGTATTCCTGTTAATCAATCCACACAAAAAGTTTTACACGTGGAGGAACATAAGCTAATTTATACAGACTCCCATTCAAAGTAAGTGAAAATAAAGTAAAATTTGAGATGGAAAGGATTAACGGAATATGTTACTTGTGAACTTCTCTATCATCCCTCCTCTTAGTCATTTGCCATGTCAGTCCACTGTTGGGTTCAAGACCAGGCTGAGAAATCTCAAGACCATGTCTTTTAACTAGTCTAATATACCTGGCATACTCAGGTGTCCAAGATTAGTCCAAAACAACATATATACGAGAAAACACAGATACTTTCACTTTTGAAAATGAGAAACCAACTAAGACATCCAGGGAATAGCGCATACTTCTCTGCATTGAAGTTCTCAACTCCAAGATCTTCATCCCATATAAATATGTAATCATAGGCAGCTACTACATCAGGATGTAAAAATCTCTTTGCATACCACCTTATAAAGGCAAGAGAAAGACCAATATTAGAATAAATCTTGATGAACACAAGTAATTATATCCAACAGCATCCATTTCCCTTCAATCGATCAGCTTGGTGGAACAAAATAATAGAACCAAATATGTTAGTTAAAATAGTTCTGTTTGAATAGAACAAAGTTATTCTTTGATTGTTGCATCAGATAGATAAGACTTAAAAATCACAAAACTAATAGGGAAATTTTAAGTCTTACCATTTGGTCTGCTTCCTAACACTGATATGAACTGCACGCTTGGACCACTCAAACTCATCCCACTCACTTGTTCGACCATCATAATGGAAAAGCAAAATTTGAAAGTCCTCTGAAAACTAATTAAGGCATAGAAAATAAGATCACACTTGGAATGCATTGTTAAGTGAAAGAGACAAAGTAGTAATGATATCGCTTCATTGTTATTACCTTTTTAACAGCTGCATCAATGTTGTCCTTTTGGTTCAAACCAACAGTAAATGTCACCAAGTACTTTGGCTTCTTTATTAGATCCTAATAATTTCACAAAATTTATAAGACAAACTGCACCTAAATATAAAGCACCAGGAAGTAATACATAAAATAAATGTGGGAAATTTTATGACAACCTACATGCTTCTCCTTTCTGTTAATGCAAATGTCCAAATGACGCTGGAAGTATCCATTTATTTATTTTTCAAAAGTGTAAATTGCACGTATCTTACACTATACAATGAGCAGATATTCCTTTTCATTTTTTTCCCCCAAAATTGAAGTTAACCAATGATTATTGACACATGTGTTCATACCTTACTTGGTTCACCCCACAACCTTCTCAGATAAAAATCTGATTCAGGGACCACAATCCGTGGTGGCAAGGACTCTGCACCGCGAGGATTTGTTGGAACATATATCTAGAAAATGAAATGGATTAACATTTTATAGATGCTCTGATCTCAAGTCTATCATGGCAGTCGAAACATATATCATTATCTCCTTACATACGCAAAATAATCATGGGATCAACAAGTGTATCCTCAAGTTTCTCTTATTTCTTCAAGCAACCACCAAGCTTATTATTGAACCAGTAACTAATATAAGTTTGGATACTTCAGAATATGAGCTATGCATATAACCATAAGAATGTCCCAATCATAAAATAGTGCTTTTGATTCTGATGTTACTATACTCAGTTGTCTGTACATGGAGATACAAGTTTAATGAGAGATGTAAGAATAATACTTCTTAATACCAGAATCAGTATTATGGAATTTAAGGATAATTTCACTATACGAGCCATATTAACTAGTTGGTATTAAGAAGTATTTTTTTTTTTTTTTTATCAAAAAAAATACTTCTTAATACCAACTAGTTAATATGGCTCGTATAGTGAAATTATCCTTAAATTCCATAATACTGTATTCTTGGCGGAGCTTGCATTATTGTAAGTTTTTGAAGCTTTCCTAGAGCACCTTGAATATATTGGTGCATATGGAGATCTATACAGTGTTGTCAAAGGCGAGATGAATCCCTGAAACGAGGCTCAAAACGTGTTAAGCGCTGCACTTCGCGTTGCTTAATGTGCACTTCAGTGTCATCATCAAGGTTCTAAGACATACTTTTCCTTGCCAATGAACCTCTTTTGAAGAAGCAACACTAAACAATTGATTCTTCACTTTATAGTAATTATTTTTTAATTTCTTTGTTCATATATTTGTCATTCAAGCTTATAAACTATTAGTCCTGGACTAAAACATATATATATATATATATATATATATATATATATTTGTATTTTTTTCTCTTTATTTGCGATTTGCTCTTGAAGCCCCAACGGACCTTAGAATTTTTTTGCACTTTTTGCTTTTTTGATAATACTGGATCTATACAAGATATATTCAACCCATCTCAAAATAACCTCTCTTATTCATCCTCTATAGTACTATTTGCACTATCAATGGCCGGTGTTAACATAATCCAATCTGGTATGACAGCATGTGCATCTTACTATTTGTATTTCTATGAAATACACCTTGTAAATATTTTGGGCTTTGACGTCCATATAACATTGCTAGTTTCACAATCATTCTATAGAATTGGGATTTGCTGGTATCTTCTTAATTTTGCACTTTCAGCCATCTTTCTTTAATCTTATGTTACATCTTCACAAGTCATGCCACTCTCATGAAAAACTAATCCAGATATTTGAAATGTTCGTATTTATCCACCATAATTCATATAATCTCATATCACCTTCATCTTTTATGAGGCTAACTAAAGATACATGTAATCTGTCTACTTCAATTGATCCTAAATTCTATCTATCTTGTGTTCTCCATAGATCTGGTTTTGCTTGACACACCAACTAGTCTCATTAATTAAAATAATATCATCTGCAAATAACAAGCACCATGGAACCACATTTTTTATATTATTGGTTAGCTCATATATGACTAAAGAAAAGTAAGTACGAGTTGAGAGCCCCAATTGGTGGAAAAAACCCATAACCTCTAGTCAGCTCCACTATGCAGCTCAAAGGAGTAAACTGACTATTATAGGGAACTCCTCTGTATTTCCTTCAACATTGTGGGATTGCTTCTTCGTACATATCCTTTATGAAATTTATAAATTTGTTTACACTTCTATTTCTTCTTAATCATCCAGAACAGATTCTTCTTCGCAATTTATCATATGATTATCTAGTTCAATGAATATCATGTTGCGAACCTTCTTCCTCTTCTTATAAATTGCATCAATCTTTTTACCAAAATATAACCTCCCACACTATTTACCAAGCATGAATTCAAATTGATTCTCTGTCACCTTGTAATGTTTCCACATCTATGCTCTATCAGTATAACACAAGTTTCATCATATCACTGATCATCTTAATATAGCAGTAGCTCCCATAACTTAAATATCTGTGTTTATATGTCGACGCCAAGATAATTTCTCTTCACTCATTTGACATATTCAACTCCTTAATATTACATTAAAACAATTTATTAGTCATACAACCTTGAACTCTCTAATGAACTTGTAAGCCTTTATATGGATATCATCTAGACCACAGGAAAAGGGAGAGTTAACAACTATAAGAAAATCAACTTTTGAGATCCAACAGCTACCAAAAAGAAGGCTTTTACAACTTAAAATAATCACAACTAGTTCTTTTGCAAATGCTGACTTCCATTATATTTAAGACAGAAGAACATGGATGCAAATGAAAAGGTACAAGAGCCGTTAATTATAAAAATAGATATTTATCGACATAATGACATACACTTAAGTAGTACTAATAGCACAATGGATCCATTTGGTTTTATGATTTTGTTTATTTGGAATTACATGTTTTCAATATTCAACACCGTAAGGAAGAAAGATACAGATTACAAGAGTTTTGCATGACTTTACTGGCCAAATTAATATACCATTTGTGTTTTACTGGAGTCCCCAAAGTTCATACGCTAGACAAGTAAGACAATAAGGTAGAGTTGAAGATAAAGAGTAGAGTATCCAAGTGAAATAAGTACCTGTGGAGTTACAAGATGCTCTGGAAAAAAGCGTTCAATAGAAGGTCTACGATGGTCATCGCCAAACGCTAGAGATGATACAAGATTTGAAGGTAAACTAATCTACAAAAGATACAAAAGAAAAATTTACAAGGAATGATAAATGTTTCTTAATCACCATCAGAGCAGATATGGAAAGATTGGGCTACCTTACCTTTGTTAGAGAAACATATGGAGATGAAATGCCAATAAAATATCCTAAAACCATTCCCATAATTGACGTTATAACTAGTCTGGATCTATCGTTCGTTCTTCTGAAAGTCCCACTGAATCAGAATAAACGAAAAAACATGGTAACTCTAAGATATATGAATAGATCACAAGCTTGAGTTCAAATCCAAATGTATAATAAAATTGATTCTAGTGCAAGTATTGTCCACAAACCTGCGGTACAAGGTTGTCATTGTGATAAAAGTTGCGTAATCCAAAGGTTAGCAGTTAGCACTAACCATAAACAAATTCCTTGAGCATCTTCAGCATCCTACACTTTCTAGAATAAGCAATCTTGTCATGCCAGAAGAGCTGAATCTGTTAATCATTGGGGAAATGTGAGATATTCCCAGTAACCTGCATAATTTCATGTCTTCGCCAAATCTTTATCTCCACATATTAATCAATAGAGCAAAATCAAGGCGATAGATCTATGTAGGCAATACCAACTAGTTTAGATTAATATGTTAATTATGTTGCTGGTTTGCTAAGAGTCTTTTCAGTGTGCATGTTTAGAGACTTGTACGTTGGCAACGTCTACTGTTGGAGAATCCAAATTATTGAGTATTAGAATGAAAAAAGTCTAAATATTCTCGTAATCGAATTCACTGAAGAAGGCCTCTAAGAGAAACCAATTAAGCTATTCGTAAGCTCCATCAGAGAAAATTTCGGGAAGAAATAAGAAAGCTAGTTTTCAGGTTCCATGCTCACTCCCGTCTTATTGCTATGTGAGCCAAATTTCTAAGATCAAAATGTTAGCTAAGAAGAATATTCAACTTCTAGTTACAGTGAATCATTCAAATCAACTAATTCTACTTTTCAATCGGAAACTAGTTGAGGCAGGCTATGTCATTTCGCATTATTTAGGCTCATTTGATGCCAATGCTAGTATTTTTTGAAGAAATAAAACTCTCTAAATCTCACAACTATCCTACATTACCTTACAAGTTTCTAACATACTGATAAGACTTCTAGTGAACACAAAACACAATGTCACTTCAAGTTAGGATTTTCTTCCTAATTTCTAAACAACCAGACAAAAAAACTACCTGCAGTCCATATTATTTGTCTTTTAATATTTTTGCACTCCCTTAAGAAAAACATTTAGTAGGCATTTGGAAATAATTTTGTTTGAAACTTGAAGGAAAGGAGTTTTTGGAAAACGAAGTTAGAAAAATGGTATTTAGAAATTGAAGTTGTGTTTGGACATGAATGAAAAAACACATTTTCAAAAATCTAATCCAATGAATAACCAAACAAAGTTTTTTATTTTATAATATTTGATAAAAGGGAGGAGGGGGAAAATCTATGTCCAAACAACTCCTTAACATCCTTAATCATTTAATCATTTGATCATTTGTCTAAACTAATACCCTTTATCTAAACTAAATCAATTTACCAAAATGATTAAATTAAAGTATACGGTATCCCGGACAACTACGCTGCTCGGATTCAACATGAAAATTAGGCAAAAGGCAGTTGGGTGCACAAAACATCCTTGTGTTAGCAGGGTCTTGGGAAGGGAAGCATCTATGTAGATACACTACCCATATGCAAGCATTAGACATTAGTGGTTCAACAACTCAAACCGGTGACCTATACGTCAATACACAGAGACAACTTTACTATTGTTCCAAGACTGCCTACGATTCAACATGAAAATTGATTGTTCAAAAATGTGTGTTTCTAGTCCCAAAAGACAGTAAATTCCAGAAAATCATGATTAAATTCAGTATCATTTCTGCAATCGTCCATTTATAAAATTGGGAAAAATATGACAAATTAGTGGAATGTATAGAGCATGCAAAAGTAAATTAGGAAAAATTAAGATCGCAATTTAAAAGGTTAAGAGTGTTGATAACTTACAGATTTTCACTGAATATTTCAGATGAGATCTGGTTAAACCTTCATGCCATCATGGAACTTCATGCCAAATGAATGGAAAATACATCAAATCCCTCTAAACTATACCCATTTTTGCTAATTTCATACTCCGAGGATGTTTGAATTGAATTATTTCAAGTGTTTCTGGCTTTTAAGCTTTTAAAGATAAAAATATTTTATAGTGCGTACTTTTAGGTAAAAAAAGTACAAAAATAAGAAAAGCTAAAACTTGAGTATTATAATGGAATTTTCGATAACGTAATTTCGGTATTCGATTTTTAAAATATTACACTATTACCATACTAATTTATTTCGGTATGATTTGGTATATTAAAGTTGATTTTGGTTCTACGGTATGGTAAATTAGTAATCATAATTTGTTTAAGTTCGACTAATATATACTCGTATAATAGAGTATTATGACTTCGACAATTAAAAAAATATCTCAATTGTATCATACTAACACATTACACATGTAGAAATATACATGCAAAATAAAGTACAAACAACTCCTTTTGTTAATCAATTACAATTCAAATACATTTCAATCAGAATAGAGTTGTCAAAGTTTCAACTTGTAAGCATTTAGTTTATACTAATACAAGGTTGCATATTTGTTAGTATTATATATATATATATATATATATATATATATATATATATATATATATGTGTGTGTGTGTGTGTGTGTGTGTGTTATTTATGTAACTATATACTTGGGTATGGTATTCGATATTTCAGAATGTTATTTCTAAATATCAAATACTTTACCGAATACAAAAAAAATTAAAATGCATACCATATACGATACCAAATACAATAATACCAAAAATCACGATATTAAAAATTTCAATATGGTATGGTAATTCGGTATATACCATACTATGCCTCCCCCCTCCCCCCCCCCCCCCCTCTACTTATGACTTTTAACTTTCAAAGTCAATTCAAACTGTAACACCTCAGATTTCAAAAAGAGAAAAGATTGCATAAATTGCAGCTATCTACGGGTCGTAGACCAATCTCATAAAAAGGGGGAAAATATTTTTTGAAAATCAAGTCCCATTACCTTATCCTACGGTTGGCCATGACGGTCCATCGTATGGTCTACGGATCATAGATAGGTTCCGTAGAAACAATTCATACTTGGAGAATTTTTGGGGTTAAGGTTGAGTTCTACGGTTAGAGTCTACAGACCGTAGAAGGATTCTGTTAAAATTGAGTAAATATTAAGGTCTCAGTACTTGGTCTACGGTTGACCAGTACGAACCGTAGAAAATTCGACGGTCCGTAAGTCAGACCCGTAGACTAGTCTGACGGTTAATTCTTAGGGGATTTTGGGTCTTTTCTTAAATGTTTTAAGCCTATACTATGTCGATTTGACCTTTATCCAAAGTCCTATATAAAGACTTTAAGTCCTAAATGTACCAACTTTAAACTATTTCTCCTATTTCCTCAAAAACCCAACCAAATTCATTCTCCCAAATTCCCTCTCAACCTAAGGAAGAAGAAGAAGCTACGGTTCTCTCCAAGGCCTTCAATTCACCATTCATCTTGTGCTTTGAGTAGCAAGGTATGCGGGTATTCACCCATAGAGTCCGTTCCTTTATGTGGTCCCCAAGGTTTTCAATTTCTCAACTCAATTTCAATTGATCAAATTGTTGGAAAAATGGGGTCTAACACAAAAATATATATGGTCAAAGTGATGGAAAAATAATGACACCAATAATTTTACGTGGAAACTCTTTTAAATAAGGAAAAAAACCACAAGCCAAGAGGTGCAACTGATATCACTATAGTAAGGAATTTTACACTGTGTAGTCACGAATATAATACTCAAAGTGATTACAACACACTCAAAATGAATAACACTCTTTTGATTTCCACCTTACTAAAATATCTCTCATATTATATTTTTCTTCACAAACTATTTTTCTTGTATAGTCTATGGAATTCCTCACTTTGCTCTCAAATATTTTTTTCTCTCTATCTTGGTGTGTCATGAACTGATGAGTTGATGGCCCTTTTATAGAATAAATTTGCAACTGTAAATTTCAACACCATCCACAATATGTTAAAGTTGTGCCACCGAAAGTTTTTAATTGTTGTGTTTCTCAACATTTGCTGCCACTGCAAATTTGCCAACCTTGCCAACCATTGACAATTGCAGCAACAATTGTTGAAGTCAATAATGGGGATGGACCCCACAAATCTCCCCCTCCAGTCCCATTCACCGAAAGGAGGTATCTCCTTTTTCTTTATAGAGAGCTCATACCTACACGTTGTTTTCATAACTCAAACTTGTCTTTCAGTATCGTCTTGGTCAACATATCTGCAAGATTTTCACTTGTGTGGATATTTTTGATCCACTTCTTCACGAATCCAATGATATTTGACGTCAATGTGTTTTGTCCTTGCATGGTACTTGGAGTTCTTACTCAAGTCTATTGCACTCTGACTGTCACAATAGACAATATACTCCATCTGATGTAAACCAAGCTCTTGAAGAAATCGCTTTAGCCATATCATCTCCTTGCCGGCTTCAGTAGCCGCTATATACCCAGCTTCAGTTGTAGATAGTTCAACACACTTCTGCAACTTTGACTGCCATGATATAGCTCCCCCTGAAAAATTATACAAATATCCAGTAGTGGATTTTCTATTATCAAGGTCACCTGCCATATCAACATATGTATAACCCTTCAAGATTGAATTTGATGCTTCAAAACACAAGCATTCATCTGATATTCCTCTAAGATACCTGAGTATCCACTTCACAACTTCCCAATGCTCTTTTTTCGGATTGTCAAGAAATCTGCTAACAACACCAACTGCGTGAGCAATATCAGGTCTAGTGTATACCATTGCATACATTAGACTTTCGACGGTAGAGGAATATGGAACTTTGGCCATGCTCTCTTTTTTCTCCCTAGATGTAGGACAAATCTTCTTGCTCAACTTCATATGACCAGCAAGAGGTGTGCTAACAGGCTTAGCATTCTTCATATTGAAGCGCTCTAGTACATGTTCAATGTACTTCTTCTGTGACAAATAAATCTTCCTTTCATCTCTGAGATGAGTAATTCTCATGCCCAAAATTTGTTTGGCATGACCCAAGTCTTTGATAGCAAAAGACTTACACAACTCTTTCTTCAACTCGTCAATCTTTGAAGTATTCCTGCCCACAATTAACATATCATCCACATACAACAAAAGGATGATAAAATCACCGTCAGAATTTTTTTGTACAAATACACAATGATCTGATGAAGTCTTATTATAGCCTTGCTCCCCAAAACAAATTCAAACTTCTTGTACCACTGTCTAAGAGCTTGCTTTAGGCCATAGAGACTCTTTCTGAGTTTACACACAAAATATTCTTTACCTTCTACTTTGAAGCCCTCACGTTGTTCCATATAAATCTCTTCTTCTAGGTCACCGTGAAGGAAAGTCGTCTTCACATCCTGTAACGACCC